TAAACGCAACCACTAAAAGCTAATTTACCATTTTACTCAATTAGCATTGTAATCCATTTGAATATTAACTTACTTGAGTTGAAGTGAGAAATGCATTGATAATATCAAATCCAGGTTTTAAATATGGATGATAAGGTGTAATGAATATAATCTCTGGGATTCCAAGCAATGGCATTAAAGTTAAACTGGCTTTAACTGTTTTTCTAAAAAAAGAAAAAAAAACACTTAGAATAACACAAACAAATTAGATTGATAACAACTATGACTTTTGATAAGTGATATTGTCAAATGATATGCTTGAATGCTACTACGAGTTCACCTTAGTCGGTAAACGAGAGCGAAGACAAATGATCCAGTGACACGATAGGCTACTCTAAGGCCCCACTAAGTAGAGGAAGAAGTCTTGATGAGGCGAAGAAAGTGTATTCTACAAATACCCAGAAAATATGAGGTTGACAAGCACACAAATCGAGTTTATTTATACATGATAGAAACTTCCTTGGGAAAACCACAAAAATAGTGTACAAAAATAATGCACCAACGAATGACAGTCGAGGATTTTCCGAGTGGAAAATGTAATCTCAAGGCGAACTGATCAGCCCATGCTTGAAAACATAAGATCTAAAATTAGGACCTTAATCAATTGAGTTCTGGGGATCTAACGTCCTCAACAGATGTGTTGTCAACAGAAATAGACTATTTGAAACGGAACTATTTTACATTTAGGATAATGATTTTGCAGATTTTCACGTAAAATGAAAGAGAATGACCATAGCTTATAATTTGGTTAGTTCAAACATACTAATGTTTAGCTGTTAAGAAGCTTAGGATTGACCGATCTATTTTAAATGAATCTAACAGGAAATTGATTAGTTTTATTTCGAGGGAAAATTAAAATATACACCACATCCCCTCAATTTTGGGCAGCTGGGTACTGTTACAGGGTTTCATAGGTAATCTGTGTAGCCAGACTTTATCGCGCACCGACGAGATTTGTTTTAATCTTTCGATTTGTCCTATCCCTCATGTCTGACCTTGACAATCATTGGCGTGTGACCTTGATCATGATTCACGCATATGTGTGTGTTAGTGTGTGTGTGTGCGATACTTGTATCTCTTTCATGTTATTAAACATTGAGTCACTTATTTCTCACTGAGTTGACGATTTCTACGACTACAATTCATGTCATTTCTTCTTGTCGTTATATTTTGTTTACATCAATGAATGTCTGAAATCTATGCTCCACAAATAATTTTATAGTTGACATTTTATATATACGTTGTTATCAAAGGGATACTCCTACAGGGTAAGCCTGACTTAAGTTGGATATATTATATGATGGATTAAACTGCAAAATTGTACACGGAGGTCAGCTGACAAACCCGTTTGAGGTGAAGACCGGTGTCAGGCAAGGTTGCTTACTCCCACCCTTTCTCTTTCTCCTGGTGATTGACTGGATTATGACGACGTCAGCATCTGGAAGGAAGCACGGTATTCAATGGAAAAGTAAGATTCTACGATACAACACAACATGCTTCACATATAGACACGTTTTGCAATAACTGCAGTAGGGATTGTCAGCTTTACATGAAAGATGTTTAATTCTGTGTGAACCGGAAAATCCCAGAGGATTCTTGTTAAGGACCCTTCACTCGACACTAAATTGTAGGACTAAACACTAGACTGGGCTATAGAGTGATCGAGCAAGGTACTTAACCACATGGTACACTCGACTTCTATATCCTACCATTGATCAAGAATCAGCTGTTAGCCAGAATGAGAGTTTGTCGTCACACAATACGTGGGATAGGGTCATACAAAAAGAGTCTCTTAAATTTAGTGTAGTCTGATAAGTCCATCCTTGCTCATTGACCAACTACAGAATACTTTCACTCAAGTCAATCAGTTACACCCTGTTGATAAATTTGTTTACACTAAAAGAAACTCAATCAATAATGTCACATCTTCAGTAATAAACAAAAAAAGACTAAAAACCAGCGCGGGAAAAAAACTCACACAAATTCTCTTCCACTTATACGACCAATTAACTTAGCCAAACGTACACGTGTTGTACCGGACAATTCAAATCTTGATATATCACTAAGTTGTGACGATCGATATGAAGCACTACGACCTGTTTTATGAAAAAATGATTGTTGATCACAATTCGATGAATCGGACAATGATAATCGTGTATTCGGTAACGATCGAAATCGTCTTTTCGGTTGTGATTTAGGTAAACAATTTACGCCGGATTTATTGTCAATGTTAACTATACTATTAATACTATTGTTCTGTTCATTGTTAGTAGTATCTTGATGTACTGCTACTACTTCTTCTTCAGATATTTTGTTAATTGTATCCTTTGCATTCAAATTAGAATCGGGTTTTTTATGAAATGATAAGGATTTACGTTGTCTAGGATTAAAATAATAACAGTCATTATTATTATTATTAGTATTAGTTCGTTGTTTATTTGTGAATGACATAAGACCGGTTCGATAATCTTTCATGTTTTCAAGAGGTTGTTGTTGTTGTACAAGTGAATCATTGCCTATGATTGGATAATTTTCATAAGAATGAATGAAAGCATAAGTCGACATTCGACGATTGTATTTTTGTAATTCCATATCACAATTATTCTCATTATTACTATTCATATTATTTGCATCAATACTGGTAGTGATAGCACGTTTGCGTAATTTATTATTCAATGCATACAAGATGATAATTAGAAAGATAACATTCAACTGAAAAGGTAAATAAGTTGGGCAGAAGAGCAGGTGAAAAAAATAGATATATTTTTTAATCATTATTTAATTTTATTGTATATTGAATAAGATAAAGCAATTCTGATTTGTTGTTGAACGAAATGACCTTCGAATCGTGACATCATGGTCTAACCAATCAGAAAGCAGATCATACAATTTTATTATGAGTCATGAAACAAAATTAAGAGAAAGGGATGATTAACGAACATTTGTATGCTTGCTGCAGATGCCTTATAGGCAGGTGTTTCAAATTTGGGTTTGAGTAGATAGCAATGAATTTGAAATTGTATGGTCGATCATTGGATAGTTTCAGAAAGTTTTACAATCTGAAATTACTTTTCCATAGCTGTCATTCAAATGAGATCAACGATAGGATTTTGATGCTAGATTCATAATTCATTAAATGGAAAGAAATTTCTAGAAAAAAACTTTTATTCACATGATTTGGAAGTGTTTAACCAAGAAGGAATTTCGTCCACTGATACATCCACATTATTCGGATAGAAGAGTGTAGAGGATGTATGAATACTGTAGAACTATGATTATATAATCTTTTCACTCATAGTAACCTTAATTAATAATTATAAAGAACTCGAATGAATAATCAGTGACTTGTTAGGTATGAATAAGAAGAGTGCTTCCAGGTTACTAATGGTAGTCTAACTTTGATCGATTCACAATTTCAAATGTGTAACTTACCAATCTTCACAAGCCTGTAATGCAATTACATGTGCTCACTAGTAACTAGCTCCGTGAGGAATCTTCCCCTAGTTCTAGTGGGAAGTCGTGACCAGTGAAGTTCAACCTGTTCGAGTTTAGAAGACAGTATATGAGGTTGCACAACTCCGTGAATTGATCGAAGTAAGACATTAACACAGTTAGATGCCGGCTCAGTCGTCCAGAAGTTAGGCGTTCGCGAGCAAAGCCGAGGTCCTGGGTTCGAACCCTGCGAGGGCAGAAGTCTTGGACGCGTACTGCTGATGAGTCCCATACCAGGACGAAACGGCTGTCCAGTGCTTCCAGGTTTCTAATAGTGGTCTAACGGTGATCGATTCGTGATTTCAGTTTATAAAGAACTCGGATGAATAATCAAAGACTTGTTAGTTGTAAATCAGAAGAGTCTCTGCATAGTGTATTGAGAATATTATACTTTCGAATATATGTAAACTGTGATTTATGTTAAAGCAATAGTTTAGTTAGTTTAGATATTTCAATGTATTACAAACTGAAAATATTTAGATAGTACTGAACAGATATTTGAATTTTTCAGAAAAAACTTTTAAGCACACAGTACTGAGCGAATAATCTCAGAATACGACTTTGTATACTTCAACTCCACAAGAACACATGGCGGTAATTTTATTTTCAGTGTTTAATCAAACTCATAGATTATTTGATTTTCAACTTGGTTCTTTATTTAACTATACTGAGTCATATGAGAGAACGACAAAATCATTGATTCGTCCACGTGTAGTGAAAGAGAACACAGGTGGGGCAACCGAATTGTATTTAACGAAAATTACAGAGTTACTCAGTAAAATAGGAAAACCATATCGTAAATCGTTCATTTGCAAAATAACAGTTCATCATATCGAACTGGACTGTTCCTGTTGCCAAACATCAATCCATTGTCACTATTCATGCGTTTCATACAAATTTTATTGTTTTCTAACTCTTCCTTTCTTGATCTACCCCCATCTTCTGCTGCCAGACATTACGTTGACACTCACGTCATATACTACTTATAAGTAGCTCGCACCACAGCACCACACACGTTTCTATTACGAGACACTAAATCATGGTACTTGATCAGAGGATAACACGAAACGATTCAATTATTTTCCACACAAGAATTTAATGTTACAAGTGTAAAGCAAGGAGTAAGTGAAATCAAATCAGCGCAAATCTTACAACATAAGATGAATAGTCTCTTAACTCGAGTATGGAGTTAGATATGTCTGTCTTCGCTCATTGACCGTATCACAAAATACTTCACTTGATACTTCGCGAAGATATCGTTGAAATATAATGCTCTATCTAATAAGTAAAAATTCCTACTTTAAATCTACTTTCGATGAAAGTATGTTTATAGGGGTAAGCCAATCAAAAAAGTGAGTGCAACTTTCCGGAACATGCGGGAAATTCAAATCTCACGTACAACAAGTAGTTAGAATACCATAGTAAATTGCTTGATGCGATAACGAAAGAAATTTTTGTTGCTACATTGTTAAAATGATAATGTGCATTGCATCAATGTCCAATTCTGTTTTTTTGAACTATGTAACTTTAAAAACTCCACCAGCAGCCCATCTAGGGTTACTTCCAGTCTTAAGTCTCGATAAAGAAGGACGGTTGGGTATGGGGTTAGGGACACCATCCCTTTAGAAAATTAACTCTCATAAAAACGATAACCAAGAAAAATTATTCGCTGGTCAGCGGCCTATACTCCATTAGGAGTAACAGACGTAAGCCAATAAGTAGGTAAGTATAACCTCAAACCTGCAATCTGTAAGCAAACCTCACCATGACGAATTAACCATATGAGACGTCTTGCATTTTCGTGTAGAATTCATCCATCCATCTTACTTACTACAAAGCACTTCTAAATTACAGTCGGTATCAACTCGTGACGAAAACACTAAACTCAGATTATTAATTCTAATTCTAAATACCTGATGCCTAACCAAGAATCATCTCTGGTCCCTAAAAGTATTCAGGAAGATGGATAGTTTGTGTTTTGTAAGTACATTTTTACCCGTAGTTTTTTGTTAACAGGGATAGTAAGCTGTGCAATATTTAAACAAACGTACTGGCTATGTAAAAAAAACCTGCTCACATTGTTGTATTCTTTTCCATTAACTATCCATTTATAAAATCCTTTCCTGATTGGTTAATAACTAACCGCAAATTAGTCGCGGTCATTTTAAGCCCATCACTATAATTTTCTCTTGCTTTTAAGTGAAATTTTAATTTATATAAAACTGTATCGTGTTGATGAGTTCATTTATAAGTTCAGAATATTTATGTAAAATAATGAATATCTACTGAGAAAATAGTGAACAGAACAAAAATATTAATTTTTATAAACGTTATAATTATTGAAAAATGGTTTTTAACTTACACCCAAAAGAATTAATGATGGTATCGTTAATAAATATACATCAGTTCCATAGAAAAGCCAAAATCTAATTTTTTATAGATAAATAAATTGAAAAATAAAATGATTAAATGGCGGTAAATAAATTGTAAAATTTAACTATATAATGAATACTACTAAAATGATGTCATGAGTAGTATAAAAAAAAATACGGCTTAAAATATTTTCATATGCTCGTTAATTGATATGCTTGAATGCTATTACGAGTTCACCTTAGTCGGTAAACGAGAATGAAGACAAATGATCCAGTAACACGATAGGCTACTCTAATCTAAGAGTCTCAAGGTCACACTAAGTAGATGAAGAAGTCTTGATAAGGTGAAGAAAGTGTATTCTACACATAACCAGAAAATATGAGGTTGACAAGCACACAAATCGAGTTTATTTATGTACGATAGAAATGTCCCAGGGGGAGCCACAAAAATAACGTACTAAAATAATACATCAACCAATGACAGTCAAGGATTTTCCGAGTGGGAAACGTAGTCTCAAGGTCAACTGATCAGCCCATGCTTGAAAACATAAGATCTAAAATTAGGACCTTAATCAATTGAGTTCTTGGGATCTAACGTCCCCAATACTGACTTATTGTTTTCGGTAGTGACTGCCTACACCCGACAGGGTTCAACTCCACTGGTCACAACTTCTTATTAGAACTCCTAAAATTTCCTCACGAAATTAGTCACTAGTGGACAAATTTTATCCATTTATATTATAAAGTTATGGAGATTGCTGTTTTACATTGAAATAGTAAGTTAATCAATCGTGGATGCGCACTACTAAAGAGTCCCATACTAGAACGAAACGCCTGTCCAGTGTTTACAGGTTTCTAATGGTGGTCTAACAATGACTGATTCATGATTTTAATGTAAAATAGCAATCTCCGTAAATCTATAAAGGAAACTTAATTAGATTAACTGTAAGATATGTATGACTGATGGCATTTCAGACTAATAATAACTCAGTTATAGTTAAATCATGTACATTAAACTGAAGTCAAACAGTCATTCAGTTAGTCGATTCCCCCAATGCTTTCATTCATCAATTAGTAGACATATATCATGATAATATATTGATAAGCTCGATGTGTATAGATAGATCTTATATTGACGTTCACATATCACTTCAAATTTAAGCAGTAAGTTGAGAAGTGCTAAACAAGACATGCTATTTTAAAGGGGTAGCTAGTACAAAGTTTTAACCTATGTGATTGTTTAGTACAGAAGACCACTTGTATGTATTCAGTTTGCTAATTTACAATTCCTAGTCGTGATTATTCTCGTCTATTCACATGACAGATTGGGTAAACGTGCAGAGTAAAAAAATGCAAATATTTATGCATTTTCAATTAGAGTTATGGAGATTACTGTTTTTACACATTTGAAATCATCAATCAGTCATTGTGAGTTCGCGCAAAATCCCTTGACCTATCAGAGTTAAGCATTCGCGTACAAGACCGAAGATCCCGGGTCCGAGTCCTTCCAGGTGCAGCAGTCGTGGATGCACACTGCTGATGAGTCCCATACCAGGACGAAACGGCCGTCTAGTGCTTCCAGATTTCTAATGGTGGTCTAACAGTGATTGATTGATGATTTCAAATATTTGTATATGTTTCTTATGTAACATGTTCACTTCATTTCGTTTGCATGCATTCTCGAGATATTTCCTACTATAAAATAAAACAATGAACACGATTTTCTTTTTTAAAAAAGGTGTTTTCTTTTCTAAAACTTTTTCTCCACTGGAGATACTAAACTTGTAGAAATTTGCTCCGTGAGGTTCCCGGAGTTGTAGTGAGACCATGTGACCAGTTGAGTTCAACCCTGTTGGGTGTTGGCAGTAACTACCGGAGACAACTGGGTAAGGTCGTGCGAAATCGTTACATTGATCACAGCTAGACACTAGCACCTTTGGATGCCTGCCCAGTGATCCAGAGACTAAGCTTTCGTGTGCAAGACAGAAGGTCATGGATTCGAATCCTGCGAGTAGCAAGAGTCGTAGGTGCTGATGAGTTCCATACAAGGACGAAATTGCCCTCCAGTGCTTGCGGGTTTCTACTTGTGGTCTAACAATAATTGATTTAGGATTTTTAAGTAAAACTACCGCCTCCATTATATTTAAATGCAAAAAATTTATTGGTTTAAAGTGAGCTTTATTGATTTTGTTTTATTGTTACAATCAGTCATAATTTTGAGTTTATTTTCAATTCATTTTATTTGTATTCATTAACTAATCAATTAATTCACTATGATTTTATGCACAAGTGTTATTAACAATTATTGAACTGAAAATCGATATTTTTATGTATTATTTTCATTAACTTTATTGTGTACATTGAATTTTCTACGTTGTTGTTGAAATAGATTTCTCTTCTTTGTATTTCATTGTGTGCTTAATCGTATCTCTACATGATGTGTATAAATCGTGAGTTATGTGAAAAGGAATCTGTAGTGTGTGTGTGTGCACTAGTACGGTGAGCTTCTGTAGGTAAACTGTTAGGATATTCATCCAATATTCTAAGAGAATTATTTGTAAGTCTAGTTCTATTGGTCAATTCCTATTGCTTAATTCCTATTGGTCGTCCTAACTGTCACTGTCACAGACTTCAATGTTGGTTCCTATTCGACCTACCTGTATAAATAAATATGCATTATCTGTAACGTTTTATGAACCGGACCCAGATCCCTACTAGTTCGGGATCCTTATTCTTTTTTGGACTCGGACCTCGTATTTTGTGGATGCTTGTAGAATACATGTTCTACTTTATATCAAGTCTTCTTCTTTTGCTCAATGGGGGTTTGGGACACTCGGAGTAGAGCAGACTGTCGTGTCGCCGGATCTTCGATCCTCGCTCTCGTTTACTGACTAAGGTGAACTCGTAACAGTTCAAGCATATCAACTGACATGTTGACCTGCATTCGTAACATAAACTAATCTTTTGACCTTGTCAGTTATTCGCTTATAACTTGGTTATTTATTACTTGAGTCTCATGGGCTTCGCCTAACTTCCCTTGTCACATGTTTATCCTATTTTAGTCTGACTATAAATAGTTAGTCATGTCTCATTTCATTAAGATGGCTCATTCACCTTCCCCGCTTCCCTTTGCTTCACTTACACTCTTCTCTTTATTGTCTCTCTGCTTAAATGAATGTATGAGTTAAATTCTTGTAACTGAATTTATATTTGACTTCTTATTACCGCCATAACACAGCACAGGGTTTTGCCTAAACAGAATATACAGTTGTTCGTCTAGATTGTAGTCAGATCGCTAGCCACTAAAAACCTCTTTATCACTCACCGTTCAAAATTACTACAGTCAACCTCAATTCATATCATTCACAGCAAATCAATGCGTAAATAATTAGTCAGGATAAGGTCAAGTGAGAAATTTTTTTTCATTTGGAAAAAAAGTTGATCGATATTTCGTGTTTCTGCTAAATTCATCAAACATAGAAAACTTACTCTGTTGGATGTCGAATATAATTCATTATTGTACGAATTGTAATGAGTATCGCTGGTAAACCTTGACAAATAAGAAATCAAACAAAACAGAAAATGAAGTATGATTTGAATAGTGAACAGATTAAATGTTCAATACTACAATTATCTCATGGTGTGGTGTGCGCTACTTATAAGTAGTATATGACGCGAGTAAAAACGTAATGTCTGGCAGCAGAAGATGGGGGAAGATCAAGAAAGGAAGAGTGGGAACAGAATGGAATTTGTATGAAACGCACGAATAGTGAAATGTCAGACAATGGATTGATGATGGATTGAAGATTTGCAAATTAACCGTTTACGATATGGTTTTGCTATTTTACTGATAACTCTGTAATTTTCGTTAAATACAATTCGGTTGCCTCACCTGTGTTCTCCTTCACTAAAATGGTATGCTTAAACATAGTAGTTGTATTAAGGAAATAACCTCAAAATTCTTAGAACTTTGAATAATCATTTGAAGGTTTTAAATCTATTCGGTTATTGATCTAATTTTGACATGAATCAATTAAAGGTACATCACAAATGATCACTTATTTATGTATGTTTTACTACTATTTATAATTAGTTCTTAGCATAATTAAAAGTTTACTTAAAGTACCGATTGAAAATAAAGTTTCATCGTAAATTTTTATGAAAACCACAATTTTTGTGTTATAGGAGAAAGGCTGAATGATAGAAAACGAATGTATATCTTAGAAGAAAACGGTATAACAGAGATTTGTGTTTTAATATTCTCTTTTAAAACAAATATTGGACAGAGACTCTTTAATGCAAGTAGTCAACAATTTTTCCGACAACTTATGGTGACGACTTTGTTCAAATCTATGCACATAAAATATAATGCCCATTAAGATGCCAGTATAGCTGGTATCAGTAATTGATAATTGTTCATATTATAACCAGATTAAATGCTTAAACAAGAAGATTCTTTCTTTAAAACGCAAAATAACAGGTTTTATTTATTAAAAGAAAGAGGATAATTTGATGTTATGATGTTACAATCTATTGATTATGATTTAAGTAGTATACGGAAATTAATCCAAAACAAAAGGTTTGTGTACCGTGAATTTTCAGAGGATAAAGATATCAATAAATGAAATCAGTATAATTCGAAAAATTAGCCACTAGTTAATAAATATATTTTGAATATGATGAAATTGGATTTTCATAATAAGATGAGAAACTTTGAGAGTAAAGTTGGCGAATGAATTTCGTTATGTTCCGGAAACTCATTCTGAAAGTGTTAAAAAAAACATGAGGCATGGAGACAACTTGGATTTAGGCTGAAAATTTTTTGACTCAAATGATCATGAGTAGTAGTGGGTAGCTAAAGCAAAAAGGATCGGGGAAGCTAGTGATGATGGATAACAATAGACAATATTTCAAACTTTTTTCAATGAAGCAAGAATGAGAAAGTTAGGTGTTAGAGTGACTATCTCTTAAGAATATGAGTCGTTTATTGAATTTTAACTTAGGGAATTGTAAAGATCAGTGAGACATTTCAAATAAATTTCATTTAGCTATACTGAACTTGAATTCATGAAGAGAAGCATGATCTGTTTGGCTTGTTAAAGAGGTTGAAGACACAGTGTGATATGTGATTCAGAATCAAATTACAATGACACTAATATATTCACTCCTTATGTTCTTTTAAATCTTACGTTTTAAATTTTCGTCATGTTTATCTCCATTTTGAAATAGATTCTCAGCGTTCAATCTGTTTGATTATCATTACTGATATTATTATTATTATTATAATTGTCCTCATCTCACTTCCTACCCAAGTAATCTCAATAATTTAATCACGCCATCTTAATGCTATAGTAAAGGATAATTTGAGCTAACACATATTTGTGCTTATAATTAAATGATTCACTGTAACAGCCGTAAATTAAAAGTTTTTTTCACCAAACTTTGACCTGTTCTCAACTTATCTAAACATGCCATATATAAATACATCGAATGATACTATTAATAGAGCGCTTGGTTGATTCAAATATCAGTTAGGTATATGCAGTGCAGAACAATGGCATACATGTGTATATACATTGGTTAAACTTACCATACCACATTATTACTACACGATCAAGTTATCAAGACAGATCTTAGAATAGTATTAGGAGCAGTGACAGTTATTGGTAATGATAGAAAAGGTTGATGTTTTTGTTTGAAATCATGAATCAATCAATGTTAAACCACCACTGGGGTCATGGAAGCAGTAGGCAGGATTTTCGCACCGCACGGGTCCTTCGGTCTTGTGCGCGAACGCTTAACCTCTGGACCACTGAGCCCATATCTCCCTTTGACCAATTCACAGTCCTGCGCAACCTCATCCACTGTCTTTAGTGAGCATTGCATCACACCCGAACATAGTTGAACTCCAATGGTCATGACTTGCTAGAACTCTGAAAAGATTACTGACGCAGCTAGTCACTAGTGAGCACATGATGATTCCCATTATAGGGCCGTTCAGTGCTTCTAGGATTCTAATGGTAGTCTAATATTGATCTATTCATTATTTCAAAAAGTGACTCAACAGTATCCACAACCCTTTCATGGAAATTATCATTTGCTCACTAGTAACTAGCTTCGTGAGGAAGTTTCTCCGAGTTCTAGTGAGAATTCATGACCAGTGGGGTTCAACTCTGTTCAGGTGTGAAACAGTGCTCACTGAAGATAGTGTATGAAGTTGCGCAAGACCGTGAATTAATCGAAGTTAGTCATTAACACCGTTAGCTACCCAGTCAGTTGTGCTAGACCGAACGTCCTGGTTTCGAATCCTTCGACTTGCAGAAGTCGTGGATTCTCACTGCTGGCAAGTCCCATACCAGAACAAAACGGTCGTCCAGTGCTTCCATGTTTCTAGTGGTGGTCTAACACTGATTGATTCATTATTTTAAAAAGTAACTCAACAATCTCCACATCCCCATAATGGAGAAAAGATTAAGTCTAGAAAAAGAGATTTCAGGACTCAAATTTTAAAAGTAAGGCAGCGAATGGATGGATGTGAACCTATTGTTAACGGTAATCCCAGTTGTTATATCCGCATGAGGATTAAAACAATTGTAATTTAGATTATTATTATTATTATATATAGTCTTACTGTATAATCATTAAGTTTCATTGAAATCAAAAATCGATCAATGTTAGACTACCACCATTAGAAACCTGTAAGTACTAGACTGCCGTTTCTTCATAATATGGGAATCATTATCAATGCACATATACGACCCCACCAGAGAGGTAATCGAACCCAGGAACTTTAGCCTCAAATGCGAACATTTGACCTCTTGACCACTGAACCGGTATCTAACGATGGTAATGTCTAACTTCGACCATTCCGCGATATTGTACAACCATTATTGATTACCTTCGGTAAGTGACTACTGTGGGCCGTCCAATAATGGTCTAACACTGATTAGTTCATTATTTCAACGAAACTTAATAATCTTCACAACACTGTACTGACGGATTGTCATAGATAATTTTATAATCTTATCTGTTATCAGTTTTTATTTAAACAAATGAATATCATTACCAAGATTGAATAGTGTCTAAATAATATGAAATTCTATATAGACATTTCATTCTATTTGTGATTTTTTAGCTGAATGAATGGTTGTACCTGTATCTGAGTGGTGTTGATGCTCATATTCAAAAAGTTACTACAGTATTGTTGATATCAAACATCATACCGATGACCTTGAATGACTAATAAACAATAAACTAATCATTATTGAACATTAGCGCGAATTCAAAAACTCTGTTGCTGAAATAATGATTTTTATGATATTTCATATTTTGAAAAGAGTAGATGATAATTTTCGTATGAACTGATTAGTTAAGGTCATTCATTATATTAGGGTTAAGACTAGTAAAGTTTATAGAGTTAGGTTTTAAAAAATTTTATAGCTACAAATTAGAATCTAACTGAATTAAATAGTACAATAATTTTCATCTCAAATTATCAATATTCACCCTACGGACAAATAATTTCAGTCATTGAGTTAAAACTCTTAATCCTCAGTAATTTGATATCATTTCTCGACATTTTAGAGTCGTTTTTTTTTTCCATAAAAGTTACATTCTTCTGATTGGTCATTTTTGATTGGTTAATTGTAACGACCATTTTTAAAATCGATTCAAGTCGTCAATGTACCAGTAGTTTTATTAATAATTCACCGATTTCAATCTTTCATATTAATAATCTCAAGAAAATCTGCTCTAATAAATTAATTTAATAATCATTATTTTAAAATTAATCCAAATTCTTTGTTTTATGTACTTGTGATTAGATGTAATTTTTGTAATGGTCATAAAATTCAACACAAATAATTACTGTTTATCAGTGTATTTATGATCGGTTTTTTTTCAGTTTATGGATCTGTAATTCATTTAATTAAGGTTAAGTGTTTAGAAGAGATGATTGAGTTTTATAGTTTTATTATGAACTGACTCAATTTCGACAATTATTGAAATTAAGAATTACTGAATAGCTGTTTCATCAGTATAATATTGAACCTATCGACAGTGTGCAACCACTAGCTCATAATCTATCTAACATAGGATATGTTGGTGTTGAAAAGAGAGTTTCACCTTTAGATCAAAAACTTGGCGTGTTATCCTCGTCACCTGATATGCTTGAAACTATTACGGGTTCAACTTAGTCGATAAATGAGAACGAAACAATGAATCAGTGTCCGGGTAGGCCACTCTGATTCGTTGACCTAAAGGAATTAACGAAAAAGTCTTGATATAGCGTAGAAAGTGTATTCTACAGGAACCCAGAAAATATGAGGTTGACAAGCACACAAATCGCGCTTATTTATACATCATAGAAACGACCTTGGGGGAGTCACAAAAATAGCACATTAAAATAACACATCAACCAATCACAGCCAAGGATTGTCCTGGTGGAAAATGTGATCTCAAGGTCGACTGATCAGCCCATGAATAAAATTCAAAATTAGGACCTTTATAAAGTGAGTTCTGGGGAACTAACGTCCCCAACACAGCGGTATA